AACTAATAGCTTTAAAGATTTTAAAATAAAATCATTGCTATAGTCAACTAAAATATCCTCTGAGAATGAAGACAAATAAAAACTTTTCAGACAGATACAAATTTAGAAATTTTTTCTAGCAGCAAATTCATATTAAAAGAAATAATAAATGGTATTCTTCAGGTAGAGGGAAAGCAGCATCAGATATAAAGTCAGAGTTATAACAATGGAAATGAGATATGTGGGTAATATTAAATAGATATTGATTGTATAAAACAACATAGAACTTATTAAGTTTATGGGATATATATTATTAGTATAACATATAAAATTCAACTGGGTTAAATAGACTTAATCCGTGGTCACAGGAAAAATCATAGTAAACATAAGTATTTTAGGAGAATGATAAAGGAGATACAATATTGTATGTAAAAACTTGTGGGGTGCAATTAAATCTTGATTAGGAGGGGGGATTTATAATTTTAAATGTGTGAGGACAGGTTGAAAATAAACAAGTAACTATCTGAGAATGTAATAAATAGAACAGCAAATTATAACCAAAGGAAGCAGAAGAAAAGAAATAATAAAGATCAGACATAAATGAAATAGAAAAATAATATAATAGAGTCAATAAATCCCACATTTCATTTGCAAAGATTGGTAAAATTCATAATCCTCTGGCAATACTGACTAGAAAATGATATATGTAAGGAATAGAAGAGTAGACATCTTTTCAGATCCTATAGGTGTTAAAAAGATTGGGAGAAGATGTTCTGAATAATTTTATGCCAATAAATAAGCACAAATTCCTAGAGAACTATAACTTAGACCCAGGAAGAAATAGAAAATGTGAATTGTCCTGTAACTCTTAAATAAATTGAATCTCCGGAACTACATGGCTTTCCAAATTAAAGAAATAAAACCAATTTTATGCAAACTCATCCAGAGAAAAGAAGAAAAGCAAGAAGTCTTTGCAACTAATATGAGGCTAGAATATTCTCCATTCTAACCTGGTAAGACATTATAAGATAGAATATCTTTGTCATAAACAAAGCTGAAAACAAATGCTAAAGAAAAGGTTAAATCAAATCCAGCAACACATAAAAAGGATATTGCGACCATGTAGAGTTTATTTTAGTAATGTAAATTTGTTTAAAATCAGAAAATTTATCAGTGCAATTCACCACACTCACAGAATAAAGGAGAAAAACCATTTATTATTGGGTGATCATTGATCAGCCCAATAGATTCAGAAAAAAAATTGATAAATTCAATTTTCTTTATTGTCAATTTTTTTTACAACATAAGGAAACCTTCTTAAAATATTAAAGGGTACCTACAAAACCTGTATACTTAATGAGGAACTTTAGGCAGTTCTTCCCCGAATCCAGAAATAACACAAGCATATCTACCATCACCACTTGGAAGCCCTACAGAGTACAAAATAGCCAGAAAAAGAAATATAAAATATAAATATTGGAAAGAAAAAACTCCTGTTATTTGCAGACAATATGATGTTAAGTAGAATATTAAAAAAATACAAATAAATTATTAGAATTAGAAGTGAATTTAGTAAGGTTGTTGAGAAAATTGTCAATATACAAAATTAGTTGTATCTATATACTGGTAAAAAAGAACAAAACGGAATTTTAAAAAGGTACAATAAGGTATCAAGTAAAATAAGATCTCTATGCATATAACAATAAGCTATTATTGAGAAAAAATTTTTTTAAAAATTTAAATAGGTACATGATAATGTACTGTAAGATATTAAGATACATTTTCAACTAAAATCCAGTTGGCTTTTGCATGGAATTGACAAGAAAAATTTAAAATTTTGGGGTGCCTGGGAGGCTCAGTCAGTTAAGCATCTGCCTTTGGCTCAGGTCATGATCTCTGGGTCCTGGGATGGAGCCTCACATCGGACTCTCTGCTCAGCAAGGAGTCTGCTTCTCTCCTTACCCCCCACTCCTTCCCGCTGCCCCGGCTCATTCTCTCTAAGAAATAAAATCTTAAAAAAAAAAGAAAAAGAAAAATTTACATGGAAATGCAGAAGTTCAAGAAGAGCCAAAATACTGTTTAAGAATAAGGATAAAATAGGAGAACTTACTCTGCTAGATTTCAAGACTTATTATAAAGCCACAGTAATTAAGACTTTTGGCACAAGGGTAGACAAAGAGATCACAGTGGCATAGAACATAGAGCCTGAAGTAGACACATATGTAGATGGATATTTAAATTATCACAAAGGTGGCACAACAAATAACAAGAAAAGGAAAGTCTTTTAAATAGTATTGGAACAATTCAAAATCTACATGGAAAAAAAAATAAGATGACTTTTATTTCACACCATGCACTAAAGTCTACTCTAGACAGATTGTAGGTTTTAATGTGAAAGGCAAAACAACAAAGCTTCTAGAAGATAATATAGGAAACTCTCTTTATGACATTGAGGTAGGGCATGTTCTAATCATATAAGAAAATATCAATACATTTTACTATATTAAAATGAAAAGTTTCTGTTTATCAGAAGACATAATAAAAAGAACAAGGGAACAAAACACAGAGTGAAGGAAAATCATTACAACGTATTTAATTAACAAAGGACTTCTATCCACAATGTATGAAAAATACTATAAATCAGTAAAAGAATGTCATATAATTTAATAGAAAAGGCAAGAGACATAAACTGGCACTTCACCAGAGGATATCCAAATGACCAAACATATGAAAAGGTGTTCCATCTCATTAGTAGTTAAGAAAATACAGACTAAAATGCAATGAGATGCACACTCACCAGAATGGCTAAAATTAGAAAGACTGGCAATACCAGGTATAGATAAGGTTGTGGGAAATGGGAACACTTATTCACTGCAAGCAGGAGCCTCTAATGTTGAAGATAAGCATATCCTAAAATCCAGAAATTCTGTTCCTAGGTGAATGACCAACGCGAGCGCATGAAGAGACATACAAGTAAAAGAATGTTCATAACACCATTATTTGTAATGACCCCAACTTGGAAACATTCCAAATGTCTATGTAGAGAGGGATCTACAAATTGCAATATATTCATGTAACAGAATGCTATATAAAAATGAAAATCCACATACCTTAGATGTGGTCTGTCCCTGCATTGTTGGTTTAAACAAACAATCATTTTGTCATTGTCTCTCAATTCTGGGGTTTGGCTGAGCTCACCTATGGTGTTCTGGCTTGAGGTCTCTTAACAGTCATTTGGTGATTGGAGCTAAAGTCATCCACTCAAAATACTGTGACGTTGATGCTAGCTGCTGGCTGGAACCTCAGCTGGACACCGGCAGAGCAGTGTTCCCTGGGCATCTCTCTACACTGTTTCTCCACCTGGCAGAGTCAGGGGAACTCGATTTCTTATACGGAAGCTGAAGGTTTCCATAGGGAATACATGGAGAGGAATTGGCAGAAGCTGCATGGCCTTTTCTACCCTAACTTGAAAGCCATGCAGTGTCACTTCTACCAAACCTTTTGTAGACTTTTCTGGATACATGTTATACAATTTAAAAAGCTAAAAATAGAAAAGAATGTAGTTCCAGGCCAGTAAGGAGAGCCAGGATCTGGGATAAGAGGTTGCTGAGAGCAAGGTCAATATATCTGGGAGAATATTCTTCTCATATTTGTTATTCTTTTTATTGTTTTTAGGTTCTCACTACCCTCTAAGGCTTAGCTCTAGCTCTTGACAACCTGGCCCTGATCTCCTTACTGGTTTTCATGTTCCTTTCACAGATACCTCACAAGAATGTTGAGATCCAACTGAATTGTGTTCTTGCACTTCTTCATGTATCTCTGTGATAGAATAATGGCCCTCCAAAGATGTTCACATTCTATTCCCCAGGACCTGTGAATGTGTATTACCTTACATGGCAAAAGGGGCTTTGTAGATAAAACTAAATTAAGAATTTTGAAATGGTGATATTATCCTGGATTATTCAGGTGGACCCAGTGTAAACACAAGGAGAGTCAGACTAAGAGTCCGAGAGAGAGATGGAATGACAGAAGCAGAGGTCAGAGTGTGCAGTTGCTGTAAAGGGCACAAGCCAAGGGATGCAGGAAATCTCTAGACGTTGAAAAGGCAAGGAAATGAGTTTTTTTCCCCTCTATCTCCCAAAAGATCCAGTCTACCAATACCTTGAGTTTGGTATCTTAAGGCCCTTTCGCAGAATTCTGACTTTCAGAACTGAAAGTAAATGGACCTGTGTTGTTTTAAACTGCCAAATTTGTCGTAATTTATCGCAGGAGCAATAGAATCTAATGACATCCCTCCTCCCCCCCTTCCTCCTTCTTCTTCTTCTTTCACTTGTGACCTTTCCTATATTGTTTCGTTCTATTTGAAATACTTCCATAAGCCAACTCTTTTTAAAACACTATGATCTCACTCATATGCGGAATTTAAGAAACAAGGCAAAAAGATCATAGGGGAAGAGGAAAAAATGAGAAGATGAAGCCTCTGAAGGAGAAAAACCATAAGAGACTCTTAATCTTAGGAAACAAACTGAGGGTTGCTGAAGGGGGGGAGAGGGTGGAGGGATGGGGTAACCGGGTGATGGGCATTGGGGAGATATGTGTTGTAATTAGCACTGGGTATTATAAAAGACTGATGAATCACAGACCTGTACCCCTGAAACAAATAATACATTAAAAAAATCCTACCTGGTGTTAAAGATTCAGATCAGATGCTCTCTTCTCCCTGAATCCTTTTCACTATCACAGTCAGAAATAATTCTTAATTCTCTAAAATGCTAGGGCATTTCCTAGCCCTGATAGTCCACTAATTACATATTATTTTGTTATTTGAGGTCAAGGTGCTATACCTTTTTTTACTGTTCCAGTTTCCTGTTCAGGAATTTTATACATATTGGGCATGCACATTTGTTGAAGGAATATAAGAGTACAAGAATGTTATCATCAGGTATGTAACAAGATTTCTAGTGATAATACATAAAATAGTGGATATTTTTATAAAAATATAAAAGTAAATTGTAACATACGTTTGCAACTTCATATGATCCATTTAATATCTGTTCCATGTAATGATTTAGGTCTCTGAATCTTTTGTGGTCTGAATTTGTAAAAGGTAAGTGCCACCAATGAGGAAATCTGTTTAAAAAAAAAAGTGTATCTTCATTAGTTTGAAAATTTGCATCTTAGGTTATTCATGAATTTATAGCATCAGGTTGAAGCGCCAATGAAAATATTTCTAAAAAATGGAGCACATTATTAATCCTGAGGGTTTCATTAACATGGTTGTGGTCACTTGTGCTATTTTAACTTTATTAATATTAATACTAATTTAATTTAATTTAACATATTAATACATATGTTCTTTCTTGCTGTGTTTATAGAAGACCACACATTTTGTCCCTTAAATATATATGGAGACTTAATAAATCTTTCTTAAGTTAATGATTCATAATTTTTGAAAAAGGTCAGATTGTATTGTTTCTTTTGGGTTCGCCAGAAATATTTCTACACTAACTAAATTAAACATTTTACCAAGTGACATATGTTTCCATCTGGTCTTAGTCCTTTGGAATAAAGTATCACTTTCCTCAAGAGACTAACTTGCAGAATTTCCCCTGCACCATCTGATAATTCATCTTGATGGGTTAGATGTGATTAAGACCAATTACTAAGTGGAATGACCTGTTAATGGTTAGCATTGGTAACATATTTTGCTGGCTAAATATATCTTTTTCGGAACTATCTAGCAGCTTCCTCTGACTGCAGTCTTGCTGCTGCCTCCTTCACACTTCTGCTTCTTTGGTATAGATATTTCCCTGGGGTAATGGGCATGAGGGATAGTGAAAAACTGTCAGCAAACACAGAAGTATGTAGGTATCAATTGCAGGCCATCCTATTCACTGCTTCTTGTTGAAAATGTTAAGGAAGTCCAAAATAATGTTTGTGTATTTAAATAATTGACATTTTATTTTTAAAAAGTTCTCCTGCAGTTCTAAGGCATAAAGTATTAAAATTTTTCATTCAGATTTAATTATTACAACATTTAGTACCATATACAATTAACCAAACCAGAAATGCATTTGATAAATGGATTGGGCAGGTTTTAAATATTAATTTGTATATCTGTAGATGAATTTTCCTTATTGTTAAAAGAAAATGGAGTTCAACATCAATTCTATTCCTTTGTTGATGTTTTTACAGAGGTATGTACTAAAAGTCTCGTATATAATTAAGTACAAGAGAATTGAAAAATTTAGTCATAGTAATGTCATTCAATTGTTGAAATGCTTTTGAGTTATATGCAACATATAGCAATCATTTTGTGAAAATGATTTTTTATGATCTTTTATCTGACAATGACATCATGTCCTCCCTCCATTTTGTTCAAGCCAAATATTAGGAAACACTTGACTTGCAAACAAATTTTTTATCTGATTATTAGAATAATTCCTTTTTTACAGTATTTATATTGAACCAATGTTTTGGTTTGCCTTTTATTTCATTCTCAGAGATTTTTTCCTCTCTGGGACAATGTATCAAAATAAGATTCTGGATGGTTGGGAGAAGAGCAATGTTGAAAGTAGAAGAGGGAAAGGAAGTCAACCCTTCTTAAGCAGGTTAATTTTAAAGAAGACCATTAATTTTAGATTTCCATGCCTGTGTATCCTTGGAAGGTACCTAGAGGTATAAACAGCCTTCTTTGAAGACCACTATTTACACTACAACTAATCCAAATTTTATTCTTTATGACTCTAACTTTCTGATCATAATCTCTAGAGCAGGTTTACATAATTCTTGTAGGGCTTCTCTTAGTAAATTTAGTAGGAGTCAGAGGAAATCTTGCTTTCATACTTCATTTATATGTATCACTGGAAGCCTTAGCTCCCTTGGGATTGTCAGCATACAAATATTGTCAGGGCATATAGGAACTATATGCCCCCCACCCCACCAAACACCACACATATGCACACACATACACATTGTTGGAATGGTTTTAAAATCAATTTAAATATCAGGCAGTGGTTGTTGAGCAAGGCATAATCCTAACTAAAGCTGAAAATTGAGAAGAGGCATATGGAGAGAGATTATTAACACTTTTAAGGTTTTACAAGTTGTCCTAATATGTAGGGCACAGATAAAAGTGTAAAACAGAGAAGTTTTTGAAACCAAAAAGGGCAGCCACTTGACAGTGACTAACATATTTTAAATCATTAATTAGTAGAGTACAATGGCAACACTGATGTTGAATTTGATATTTGCAGTCAAACTTTGCTTTTTTTTTTTTTTTGCTAGCTCCTCCTTTTCTGTTATTCTATCAGATGTTTTTTTGGTAATTCTTGAAGCTGGTGCTGCTTTTAAGTTTCCATAATGACATTCCTTCCCTTTCAGTCTCTTGAACATACTCTTACTCTAATTTGTTCACCTCCTGATGCTTAAAGCACCTGCATTTCAAAATTTCTGTGACATCTGCAAGCACAGTTCTTCATAAACATGAAGTACTTCGCTCTTCAATATTGCACAGTATCTCTCCATCCATTGATAACTTTGCTTAGAGTTATGTTTCGGAAAGTGACTAAATCCTGAAAGCCTGGTAAAAATCCACATGTAAAAAGTATGTCAGGTCAAATTGGACATTCGCATTGCTAAAGGACCATTTACTTAATAAAAATGTCAATAAAGATAAAATAACATTTGATTTACCCTAAGGGCCAATATAACCTCTGGCAAATTCATCTTTTTAAAGTCAAGATACTCCTTTGGTATACACTGAAGTCTATGACCTAAATTTGGTTAGTTCTAAAGTGATGAATTTTAGGTTTGTCTGAAGAGAAGTAATTTTCAATTATATTCTTAATGTGTTTATGTTTAGTATTTTTTAAATTATAACCTGAACAAAAGCAATGGTTTTCATAATTGCTTGACAATGAACATAACAACAAATTAAATTTAGATAATCCAAGTCAAAGTTAATAATTCACAAAGAAAGTAAGTTGGTATTACTAAATTTTACTTATATACTAAACGATATTAATGAATTGTTTTCTGGTACAGGAAATACACATATCAGAGCTTTTTACTGCAGTTATTTGTTAAAAGAATAGATATATCCAATTTAGTTCTGCATTTTCAATTTCAATTTCATTTTCTTCTAGAAAAAACTAAAAAGATTAAACTTAAAAACAGGCAAATAAAACAATTTTCCTGATAATTGATGGAAAATGAAATTGCTTCTGAATTTTTCTGTCTACAAAATCAATGGCTAGAAGCAAACAGAAATTGCAAACCTTGTTCTGTTTTATGAAACAAAGTTTCTTTACTCTGGGAGCAAAATAGACTCTGCTGGGATAGGTTCAATGGCATTGGAGTCAGAATGCTGTGTTGCTCACAGATAGAAAATACTATAACCATAATTTTTCCTTATGTTCAAGGACAAGTACTGCAGGCAAAACCCTGGGGAGGACAGTGCCTTACTCTGGGAGAGTCAATGATGCAAACTGCTTCTGAAGTTGGCTGTGAAGTTTTGAAAACTGGTCAAATGATTTTTCTGTCAGGCTTGTTTCATTGTTACTGTGTTTCACCCGGATTAGATACAGCTGCAGAAAATAAATAAGACAAAAATCAAAAGGTGGAATTATCAACCTGTGATACATTTTTAAATCTGGTTTCGTGTGAGCTAAACAAAGCAAGAACTTTTCTGCAAAAAGTCATTGCAAGAGCTAAAAGATGCAATTTGTAAAGGCAAAATTACCTATAAACACAGTATATAAAAATATCATAATCTTATGTGCTGGGAACAGACTGCCTAATTTCTGCTCTTTTTTACATGTGGACACTTTAATTAGCTCTTGATTTATAGTCTACCACAGGGCAGGAACTGTTCTCTTTGATGGTTCTCTACTAATAGCTCTAGTTGTTATGATTTCTCCTTAGAACATTCTCTTTTAATGGCACTTCTGCTCAAACTGTAACTGATTTTTCATTTGCATAGTAAAAAAATATCATGATGTAAGGAAGGATGCGTAGCATAGTGAAGGGAAGTCTGAGATGAAGTCAAATGATATTTAGGTCAAAATGATAGTGTTGACTTACATTACTAGTTTTCTTGCTGAACCCTAAAATTGTCGCTCTTTGAATTGCCCTGGTTGCATTCAGCATACAGGATTCCTGGGGAAAAGTCTGTGAAGTAGATTTAGCAGGACTTATGGCTGTCATTTGTGCAAGTGTATGGATCAAGTTATTTAACTTAACAGGGAAGCACTCCAGACTTTCCTTTATTTTCCTAGAGAAATGAAAAAGAAGATAGTGAGTAACATTTTCCTGAGTTGACTCATTTAATTTAAGATTTGTTTTCTTGTGTTTGTTAGATGTGGAGGAAAAAGTCGAGAACCATTTCTGTTTATTTGGAGCCCAAATATTAAATGCTATTTTTATAAACCCCAAGTCCACATCTTGAGTTGTTAGCAGATTTAAAAGAAACCCACTTGGTGAAATAGAAAAATAATTGTAGGAGCACCTGGGTGGCTCAGTTGTTAAGCGTCTGCCTTCGGCTCAGGGTCCCAGGGATGGGATCGAGTCCCACATCGGGCTTCCTGCTCCGCGGGAGGCCTGCTTCTCTCTCTCCCTCTCCCACTCCCCCCCCTGCTTGTGCTCCCTCTCTTGCTGTGTTTCTTTCTGTCAAATAAATAAAAAAATAAAATCTTAAAAAAAAAGAAGAAACATAATTGTAATTTTGTATTTTGACTTATTTTAGGTTTGTTTTCTATTTTGAGGAATGATTCATTTAAAATTTAATTTTAGTTTATAATTATTTAAAATACTTGAATGATTCCAGGAGTTAAAGCTACAGAACAGTGTATAGTCCAAGAAGCTGAGCATCCATTCTTGTAATCTCTGTATTATTCCTTCTTTTCCCCATATTTAAATATTTTAAAAAAATATGGTTTAACTTTTACTGCTTTTTCATTTTATTTTTATATATAGTTGTGTTCTTCTTTAAACTATGTGGCAAAAAAGTTGCATATGACATACTATATTTAATATACAGTATGCTATATGAATTATTTTTCACCCTGTGGTCTTTGGTTTGGTTTCGATGTGTTTCTGCTTTTTAAAGTCCTTTTTTTTTTCTTGTATTTGAGGTTTGCAATTGTGTTCCAATGATATAAATACCTTTTTTTTTGACATATAATGTATTTGTTTCAGAGGTACAGGTCTGTGATTCAACAGTCTTGCACAATTCACAGCGCTCACCGTAGCACATACCCTCCCCAGTGTCCATCACCCAGCCACCTCCTCCCTCCCACGCCCCTCCACTCCAGCAACCCTCAGTTTGCTTCCTGAGATTAAGAGTCTCTTATGGTTTGTCTCCCTCTCTGGTTACGTCTTGTTTCATTTTCCCCTCCCTTCCCCTATGCTCCTCTGTCTTGTTTCTCAAGTTCCTCCTATCAGTGAGATCATACGATGCTTGTCTTTCTCTGAGTGACTTATTTCGCTTAGAGTCATACCCTCTAGTTCCATCCACGTCGTTGCAAATGGCAGGATTTCATTTTTTTTGGTGGCTGCCTGAGATATAAATATCTTCATATACTGTTCTCTCTCCCGTCTGTACCCTCTTCTCTGGTACGTGATTTGCAGAGTTGTCCTTTTGATCCCAGTCAATACTATAAAGCAAGTGGTGTGCTTATTCTGTTCTTCACATGTGCTTCTCATTCCACTTCCATTTTTCATAGAGCTATTCTATTTACACTGTATAGTGTCTGTACTATACATACTACATCGTCTCTCTTCTAACTGTCATTAAATCTTAAATTTTCTACCAGGCATTATGTCCACATCTCTGTCATTTTGACTACCTGAAGCTCATTCTCTACTAAATTCCTCAGAAAGTGCTTCAAAGAAGTAAGTTTCTGAATTTTGGATGTTGACAATAGTTTGTGGCTTGACTTGAAAGTCAGTTTGTCTAGATACATCATCCTTGGCTCACATTTTTTCTCCCTCTTTTTTTAAAAAAGGATTTTATTTATTTATTTGAGAGAGAACAAGCACAAGTGGGGGAAGGGAGAGGGAGAAGCAGACTCCCCGCTGAGCAGGGAGCCCGACATGGGGCTCCATCCCAGGACCTCAGATCATTACGTGAGCCAAAGGCAAATGCTTAACCAACTGAGCCACCCGGGAGCCACTCACATTTTCTTCTTTGAGTGCCATAAAAACATCATTCCATTTTCTTTTGGAATAAAGAATTAGTATCCAAAACTGATAATATACTACACTTCTTTTTTTTTTTTTTTTTTTTTTTTTTTTTAAACTTTTTTTTTTTCTCTTATAAATAATTTGGGTTTTTGCTGGATGCTTGAAGGAAGTTTCTTTTTCTTCAGAGTCCAATAGTTTTTCTAAAATGTGTTTCAGGTTGGTTATTATAGGTAATTTTCCCAAATACTTAATGTGTTTTAATGTAATTTCAAGTCTTTTGACTTCAGAAAATGTAATTATGATACTAGTATTTATTAAAACACTAAATAAAGGGGCATCTGGGTGGCTCTGTCAGTTAAGCGTCTGACTCTTGGTTTTGCCTCAGGTCATGGTCTCAGGGTCCTAAGGCTGAGCCCTGATTTGGGCAGCATGGAGCCTGCTCGAGATTCTCTCTCTCCCTTTCCACCAGCACTCTCATACTCTCTGTCTCTCTAAAATAAATAAATAAATCTTTTAAAAAATACTAAATAAATAATTTAGCCTTGATACCATTTTAATATATTATTTTGGTTTTCCTTTTCAGGGAGTTTCATTATATATATATATATATATGTTGGATTTTCACTGCTTTTATTTTAAAAGTCCTCTTTTTGTTCATCTTTTTCTCTGGAGGCATCTGTTATATTGTCATGTTTATTCTGTGTTCCTTCTGGTTTGCCTTTAAAATTGTTTTCTTTTCCCAGAAATGAACCCACAACTATATGGCCAACTAATCTTTGACAAAGCAGGAAAGAATATCCAGTGGGAAAAGTCTCTTCAACACATGGTTTGGGAAAACTGGACCAACAACATGCAAAAGAATGAAACTAGACCACTTTCTTACACCACACACAAAAATAAATTCAAAATCGATCAAAGACCTAAATGTGAGACCTGAAACCATAAAAATCCTGGAAAAAAACACAGGCAGTAACTTCTTTGACATTGGCTATAGCAACTTCTTTCTAGATGTCTTCTGAGGTGAGGGAAACAAAAGCAAAAATAAACTATTTGGATTTCATCAAAATAAAAAGTTTCTGCACAGTGAAGCAAACAATCAACAAAAGTAAAAGGCAACCTATGGAATGGGAGAAGGTATTTGCAAATGACATATCTAATAAAGGTTTAGTATCCAAAATATATAAAGAGCTTCTAAAACTCAATACCCCAAACCGAAATAACCCAGTTTAAAAATGGACAGAACACATGAAAAGACATTTTTCAAAGAATGTATACATTTGGCTAACAGACACATGGAAAGATGATCAACATCACTTATCATTAAGGAAATGCAAACCAAAACTATAATGAAGTATCACCTCACACCTGTCAGAATGTCTAAAATCAACAACACAAGAAACAACAGGTGTTGGCTAGGATGTGGAGAAAGGGGAACCCTCTTGCACTGTGGGTGGGAACGCAAATTGCTGCAGCCACTGTGGAAAACAGTTTGGAGGCTCTTTAAAAAGTTAAAAATAGAACAACCCTATGGCCCAGCCATTACACTACTGAGTATTTACCCAAAGAATACAAAAATACTAATTGAAAGTGATACATGTATGCCAATGTTTATAGCAACATTATCTACGATAACCAAATCATAGAAAGAGCCCACATGTCCATCGACTGATGAATGGATAAAGATGTGGTATATATATATATATATATATATACACACACACACATATATATATATATAATGGAGTATTATTCAGCCATAAAAAGAATGAAATCTTGTCCATTGCAATGATGGATGGAGCTAGAAACTATTAAGCTAAGCAAAATAGGTCAGTCAGAGAATGATAAATACCGTATGATTTCACTCAGATGTAGAATTTAAGAAACGAAACAAATAAGCAAAGGGGAAAGAAAGAGAGAGAGCATTCCAAAAAACAGAGTCTTAACTATAGAGAACAATCTGATGGTGACCAGAAAGGAGGTGGGTGGAGGGACGGGTTAAATAAGTGATGGGGATTAAGGTGTGCACTTATGATGGGCACCAGGTGTTGTATGGAAGTGTTGATTCACTATAAATTAACTAATATTACACTGTATGACCTGCAACTAATAGTACATGTATTTTAACTAACTGGTATTTAATAAAAATGAAAAAATGCAATTAAAAATTATGTTTTCTTTTATTTTTCTTTCTTGGGTTCAATCACCTCATTTCTGAGTTTTTCTAATTGTGATATATATTGTTCTTTCATGTCATTATCATTGTCTTGATTTCTTTTTAGCTCAATTTGAAATATAAGGATACAGTTTCTTCCTTTGGTGGGAATATCTTTCTGGCATACTTTATTGTACGGATTTCGTTTTACATCTTATTTCTTTATTTCTCATTATAATTTTGTATGACGTTCAAACATGATCCATTTTGCTTACTCATTTTATTTTATTTTAATTTTATTATGTTATGTTAATCACCATACATTACATCATTGCTTGTTCATTTTAATATGAAATTAGCATTCCTGAACTTTTAGGAAGGAGTAGAGGGGTTTTTGAGGGTCTGAAGCTCCCTTTTCCTTGTTATAAAAACAGTGATAAAAAAATGTTGTTTCATATTTTCTGAGATATGCTTCTTTTGCTTATCCCCTCACCCCCAATTTTTTCTGGACTTTGGTTTTCCTTTTCTCCCGTAATCTTTCTCCTCTCATCTTGGAGTATACATCTGGGCAGTTTCTCTTCAGTGTAGGACTTTTTCCTGGGAGGAAGCTCCAGTTACCTCCGAAAGCTCATAAAGTCCTCTGACCTTTTCAGATCTGCCACCGAACACTTGCCCTTCCCCGTGAATTAGAATGTGTAAAAATTCTTCCCAGTGTTAGCTGCTGTTATCAAATTGATCTGCTCAGCTTTCCAGTGAGTACCTGTGCGGTCTTTGGAGTCGTGTTCTCAGGTCGATCAGATGACCTATTTCTTCTTTAGCTTCTTCCCATGACATGCTGATACACAGGTCTTATAGCTGAATGGTTTGTCCTACCTGCTTGTATTTTAGGGTTCTCGGGAATACTTTGTTGCATAGTTTTGCTGTAGATATTGTCCATA